TCCATTACATTCACTTACGTGCTAATACCCTTGGGAAAAGTATGAATTCTCCTCTTCTCGCCCTCCCTAGCTATGGGTAAAATAGCAGGAGAAACCGGGTTCTATAGCCTTAGATGGCAACTGATCTACTACAGAAAAAAATGGTAACCTACTGCGGGAAAAAAATCTACCTCGCCAGTCATATATCGAAAGATACATGATCGCCTAAGCGTGTATCATGCATGGCATAAAACTGACTGAATAATAATTGCAACTCTGCTCATGAAAGAGAGCACTGGGGAAAGAATCATGGCCTGCTGTTAAGAGGTTCGTTTCTTTTTAAGTTTAAAAGATAAGGCAGCAACATCACTTGGGAGTCACCTCGAGAAATTTGGGGAAATCTTCAATAAGTGATTCAATCAGTGAATTAGGTTTTCTGACTTGAAGGTATTTCTAACAGACCACAAGCTACAAGATCAGACTATCATCAATGTCGTCTATTTTAGTATTTACATTGGTCGGACTATTGTCCTCATCTTTGTCGCCATATTTGTCACAACGTTTCGGCCGTTGTACGCTCCGGCCTTCTTCAGGCTGTAACGCGAGGGGAAGTGGAAAAATCAGGCGTGGCTGACCACATATGGAGAGAAAAGGGAGATCACCGTCCCCTGTGGGATCATGTTGAGATCATAGACAGGGAACACCATTGGAAAATTCGAAAACTTAAGGAATGAGCACATATGCTAGACCACAAAAATCTCCTGAGCCGACCAAGCATAGAAATAAATACAATATGGGAACCAGTAATAAGGAGTGCCAGAGAAAAGCAATGATAACAAAGTTGCAATATGAGCTCTGGTAAAAACATGTAATGATAACAGAAAAATTGCAATATGAGCACTGGTAAAAAAATGGTTGCTGAAACATTAGGTTTATAATACCCAGAAATTCATGCCCAGATGTCCTCAAGGACACATGGCACAGTGGATAAAAGGCTTTGTTTAGATCCAGTGACAGTGTGAGTTCAATACCCGGTTAAGGCAGTGGAGAACCTTCAGCAAAAGATAACTGATAACTGACATGGAACTAGAACAGTCTACCCCAGTGATCGACATAAAGGGTTCAGTTCGAAATTCCAACCACCTGAAGAAGGACGGAGCGTACAATGGCCGAAACGTTGTGACAAATATGGCGACAAAGATGCGGACAATGTAAATACTGTACATAATACCTCATCTCAGAAATATAGACAGTCGTCTATTTCATCGCATCTTGCCTCGTTAATTACCCAGACTCGCTGGATAGATATTACCAAAATTTGAAAAACTAATTATTCATCCCCTCTATCCAAAGCCACTGCAGTTACGAAGTGCAATAAGGGAATTCTAAATGCGCAACTCCGTTGTCCTCTTTTCCCTTCGATGACAGAGCGCATCAGGGAGACAATAGAACAACAGAGGCCGTTTATGTAACATGCAATACCTGCAGACTCTACTGGGTTTCAATATGAGAGGAAAGTCATCGTCAGCTAACAGAGTAGATTCTGACTTCAGCAATAATAACTCAGCGAAAACTGGCATTCTTTGGACACCTCATAAGAAAAGAATCTGGTCATCTTGCAAATAATGTCTTTCACCTCGAGTCGAAGAATCTTAGGTGAAACTGTCACAAGAATCAACCCATGACAGTGCTGTCTGGCTATCATTACTCAGGGTCATATCAACGCGCCTCTCTACGCAACAAGGAAAAAGGTCATCGCCAACAGACCCTTCTACACTGGACACCGTTTATTGCACTTTTTCTTTGTATGAGTGCCGTAAATTACAACAGCAACAACAATAATTAGTAGAAGAATGAAAAGGAGGTGGATGAGTAGGAAGTGAATGTGATGGTAAGATATTTTTCGGTCAGAGGCATCATACATGAAGATATTAATAATAGAAACGACTCCTTAAGAGATGAGCTAACAAAATGGCGTTCCCTGGAGAAAAGGTGTCGGATCTCCAAGAACATCTACCAAAAGATCAATAACTCATTGAAAAAACAAACATCCATAAAACCAAGAATTGGTGAACAAAAATGCAAAGGTAAAACTACTAATAATAATAGTATTACGAATAATAATAACAATAATGCTAAAATATTTGACCATCCTGTATCAGGTTGGAAGGTATTATCACGCAGTGAATATAAAACCCAACATGGCAGGTTAATATTTACACTAGAAAACCTGCAAGAACTGGTATGAACCACACCCAGACCCGGTTACAGAGATAGGACCTGTAACAATTTTATAAGACATTACAATGCACCCAGAGAGAACAATCGACGCTAATCGCCCAGAAATTGCGATCAAAGAAATTTTATTGACAAGACAGTTCCCACTGATTTTAATGTATCTTTAAAGGTCTTTATAAAAAAAATCTATCAAAATACAAGGATTTTCAAATGGAAATCTTAAAAAGTGTGGCATATGAAACCGTTGATTATTGTATGGTCTTGTCAATGTCCTACCAGTTATTTCTTGTTCTTACTGATCCGGAGTTTCACTACAAGATCAAGGAATTGAACTGACGACAACTAGATAACAGGAAGACATGTTTATCCATTATTTCAAATCAGATGTTTTCGACATTTGGTTAACACGAAGGTTTAATAATGCTTCGAACAAGTAATTATCAATATAAATTGCTTCGAGGTATTTTTGCCTACTTGATTTTTATAGATTTTATTATAAGACGGAATGTTTCGGCCAAGTATTCACTGGTCATCATCAGTTGTTTATTTATTATTCTCATCTTGATTATAGATGTTATTATAGGCAAAATGGTTCAACCAAATATCCTCTGTTTATCATCAGATGTTTATTTTTATTCATATCTAGATTATTATAGTTTTTACTGTAGATAAATAATTTCGGCCTCGTACCTTCTTGTCTGCATCAGGTGTATATTTATTAATCTCATTTTGATTATAGATGTTATTATACACAAGATGTTTCGGCCAAGTACCCATTGGTCATTATCAGGGTTTTTTATGCTTATTAAGATTATTATAGGTTTTATTATCGAAAAATTATTTCGTTCTTTTGACTTCTGGTCATCATCAGGCGTTTATTTATTATTCTCCTTTTCATTATTATAGATGTTATTATACACAGAATGTTTCGGCTAAGTATCTTCTGCCCATCTTCAGGTGTATATTTATTATCATCATCTTGATCACTGTATATGTTATTCGGCTTCGGTGAAGTATCCACTGATTATTATCAGGTTTTTATTTATTATTCTCCACTTGATTATTATAATTGTTATTATAGACAAATCGTTTCGACGAAGTATAGTCTTGTCATCATCAGGTGATTATATATTGATTATTATAGATGTCATTTTAGACAAAGTGGTTCGGTCAAGTACACTCTGGTCATTATCAAATCAAAGAAAATTGTATCAGTAAAATATGTTAACACTTCGTCTGAGATTGCACTGAGGACTTTCTTCGGAATGACACGCGCAAATATACTGTTGTAGCATACCTACAGAATATAATGTGTATGTCCCCATTCACATAAATACAGTAGTAAATACTGTATCTTGGTCTGCATTTGGGGATTCGTCACCAGCTCTGCCGGTGAAACTCTCTGCCTCTAGGCAGAAAGGATCCCCAAACGAGGTTATATCGAAGGGCAGAATTTCGTCTCGTGAAACGGCTACCCGACCCCGTATTTATGGGGTATAAAGGGAAATTTTGGCCGAGCTACTGAACTCGGATACCCCACATTAAATTCAGCCTTGTGCCACATCTGAACGCGTGGGGCGGATGGTAGTATCCTGCAGCTGGAGATTCGTCTCCAGTCGGGAGGGCCAAACTCTCCGTCCCCGGGCAGAGAGGATACCCAGACGAGACTATGTCAAAAGGGCAGAGTTACGTCTCGGGAAACAGCTACCTGACCCCGTTTTATACAGCGTCTACGGGAAATTTTTTGGCTGAGCCTACAGGCTCGAATACTTGACATTTAAATTCGGCCTTGTGAAACATCTGACTGCGTGGGGCGTTGGTAGATATCCTGCAGTTGGAGATTCATTCATTGTGGAATTCACTTGATTCACAATTCTAGCAGTTGACTACTTCTACGCGCCGCTGGAAAATCTTATATGTGTGGTTCTTGTCCTAAGTATTATCGTTCATTACTGTTGGGGCGCACCCACCTTCTCATCAGAATGGACTGATCTCTCTGCTACTAATAGGACAGTTCTATAGAGTTCTGCGAGGATCAGGTGACCATCACACTTCCGTATCTCTACCGGAAGATACAGTTGGACTTTATACTCTTTCTGATTGTCACTGACTGACCTGCGTTCGTTTGACTACTAATCTCTCTGTTGTAAATACCTCTTCAGATATACCAGTATTTTTCCCTACGTATGTGTTTGTCCTTATTTCAATACACGCACGCGGAAACACCCAACATCTCAATTACCAACCTTCGTTTGATTATTCTAGGCAGTAACCTTCCCTAGGTTATAATATATACATAGATCGCCTCGTTGTGAAACAATGATTATGAGTCAAATCTCGTAGACCATTTTACTTCTAGTGACTATATGTCATAACTGCTAACTGCTACTTAGATTTTATTGAAAACATCAAGAAACTACGTTTTACTGCATTCTGTTTCATCGTCAGACAGTATGAAAATATTTTATCAATGCTGTGATTTTTGTTGCTCTGAAAGTAGCCTATTTCTCTCATTGTCAACCTTGACACGGAACAATAAAATAATAGGATTACAGGCTTATTGTTTGTGATTCGAGCGTGACTGATCAAAATTTGATTTTAATTTCTTTTTATTTTATGTCTTTGGATTGTTAATGATATTTACTAGGCATAGCTTAGTTTGACATAAAACCAGATCGGGTAGAAATATGGTTAGGGAGATTGTGGGGCGCCAATTCTTTCAAGCGAGGCCTGCGTACCTGCCTAGAAATTCAACAGATGAAAATACTGTCCCACCTCCCCCTTTAAATCTTGACTGTGGCCAAATAACGAGAGAGATAGGAATAGAAATTAAAGAAAGAGAATCGAGAGGGAGAGATAGACAGAGGAGGAGAGAAAAGGTGATAGAAAATTGGGAAAGGGAGAACAGTTAAAGAGAGTCGGATGTAGAAAGCAAAGAGAGGGTGAGTTTGTGAGGTAGGAAGGAGAAAGAATGTGATAGAAAGAGAGGTAAGAAAGATAGAGAGTGTGAGTGAGTACGTAGAAATAGCAATAATGATGACTAGAGAGAAAGAGAGGAGAGAGACACAGAGGGAAAATAGAGAGAGGAATATATGAGCAAAAGAGAGAGTGAGTGAGAAAGAAAACGGGTGACAGCGAAAGAGAAAGATGAAAGATATATGATTTAGGTAGACGTAGAAGGACAGAAGAGGATATAAAGGGAATCTAATAAAAAAAAGAAGAGTAGTGGAGAAAGAAAGAGAGAACGAAAGAAGCAAAGAAAAAACAAAGAAATTAAGAAAACAATGCAGTTTTATAAATCTACCATTCATCCGTTCATTGGATAATGTTGCAATACCTGCTCTTGTACTCTTGCTATAGATCTTAAGATTCTTGACAAAATCCAAAAAATTAATCTGCAATATAATCGATCCTGACCAGACATCTCGACGTCAGTCACATTCTCACGACCTTGTCGTGGCTTCCCTCTGTCTTTTCTACAAATATCTTGATGGCAATTGTTCTGATGAGCTTTTCTCCTTGATGCCTCGACTGCGTGAATTTAAACGTTTTACTAGATTAGTAGTTAGGACACACCGTTTTACTTTTGAACTAGCGCCACCCAATCGTAAGATTGTTCTTATAGTTTCTTTTCTCACACCTCTCGCCCGTGGAACTCCCATCTGATTTCTTGCTTCCCTACAATATATATATAAAAAAAATTAAATGCAATCGCTATATTCTTTCTTCTTAAAAGATGTTCTTTTATTGTCTTTTCTCCTCACTAAAGTTTCCTCTTTTTCTTTCCTTCCAAGTAACCCCTTGTTTTGAGGTGAAATGATGAAAATAAATATAAAAGCAAGGAAATAAAGGAAAATAAAGTAATAATAAGGAAGGGGTGCTAAAAAGAAAGAAAGATCAGTTATAACGAGATATAAAATCAAAGAAAGAAAGTGAGAATACAAGAATAAAGGCAAAAAAGAAAGAATGGATGAATGATAAAAAGAAAGTGAAAATAGTGAATGAATGAATGAATGAAGAAATGAACAAAAGTGAGAAAAATTAAGAAGGAAAAGATAAAAAGGTTGAAAGAGAAGATATAGCGTAAAATGAAAGAAAAAACGAATGAAAGAGAGAGAGAGAAAAAGGAATGAATGTTAAAATATAGAAAGAAAGAATAAATGATAGAATTAAAAATCAATAAAGGATGCGAGAAAATAAGAATGAATGAACGAAGGAAGGAAGGAAGCAAAGAAGAAAACAAGGAAAGAAGCAAGGAAGGAAGGAGGAAAGTAAAAAGAAGCATGGAAGGAAGGAAGGATGGAAGAAAGCAAGGAAGGAAGGAAGAAAGCAAAAAAGAAGCAAGAAAGAAAGAAAGAAAGAAAGAAAGAAAAAAATGAGACGGAGGGATGGAGGAAGGAAGGTAGGGAAGATGGAACGGAGGGAGGGAGGAAGAAAGCAAGGATAGAAGGGAGGAAGAAAGAAAGGACAGGAGGAAGGAAGGAAGCAAAGAAGAAAGCAAGGAAAGAAGCAAGGAAGGAAGGAGGAAAGCAAAAAGAAGCAAAGAAGGAAGGAAGGAAGGAAGGAAGAAGTAAGAAAGAAAGAAAGAAAGAAAGAAAGAAAGAAAGAAATGGGAGGGAGGAATGAAGGAAGGAAGGGAGGGACGATGGAAGGGAGGGAAGATGGAAGGGAGGGAGGAAGAGAGGAAAGGAAGGAAGAAAGCAAGAAAGGAAGGGAGGAAGGAAGGAAGAAAGAAAAAAGTGGATGGAAGGAGGAATGAAGGAAGGGACGAAGAGAGGAAGGGAGGGAGGAAGCAAGAAATAAACAAAAGAAAGAAATGATTGCATGAATTACAAAAGAGAATCAACCAAAAAAATGTTAGACAAACTTATGTTCGCTAAAATATTAAATAAAAAAGAAGGATTACTATTTGGGAGGACAGATGTTTGACTATTGTGACTGAAAACAGTAATCAATGTTCGAGATCATTTAAATACCAGACTCTTAAAAAGACGATATTTAAGCAACACATTTTTCAAGGGCACGGTTCCCCCAATCTCGTATTTCAATGACATCAAGAAGGAATCATGAAAGTCAAAGAAAGCCTCTTTGATGAGTTCCATAACTGAGGTATCACGTTGCCCTTTCAGCCAATGGTGGGTATTCCAGCCCACAAAACAAAGCAACAACAAAAAAAAAAAAAAAAAGTGTATTGAATACTGTTTTTAAAGCAAGTAAGTTCCGATTATTTGGAAACTCTCCATGCCACTGATCAGTTGCTCATATACAGTCGCAATCTAAAGTTGCAAAACGCCATTGTAAAAGAAGAACAATTATAAAGAAATAAGATTCAAGGAAACAGTAATAAAATAAAATACAGGCAAGTAAATTCGTGAGTGAAGAATAAATTGATCAATAATTCGAGTTGGACAATAATGACGTAAAAGAAATGAAAGAAAAAGGATAGACTATTAAAAAATATAGTAATATGGTAATATCTCACAATTATATATTCTTTCTGCATGCGTTTGCTAGAGAAATGAATAACCTATGAACAGAAAAAGGGTTGAAGAGACATATATATATGTGTTTATATATATATATATATATATATATATATATATACACACACACAAACACACACACACACACATATATATAGTGTTTTATGGCTTATCAACATTTTGCAGGTTTTTTAAAGTCAGAAAATATGTTTAGATTGTGAGGATTTGGCGGTGATATTAATGAGTTTTGCTAATTAACCCAAAGCGGGGGGGGGGAGGAGAAGAGGTTATTTATTTCCTTTCTGAATAGTATTTCATGTAAATGGATAAACAGGAATTGGAACTAGGATCTCGGATTTCCACTACCACCCACCCGCATATCTAAGCGATCCCCCGGCTAGGTACTGACTATAGGCTCGACGTTACTAAACGTCGATGATCGAACGAGAACTGACGTTTCGACGTGATATGGCCTTATGCCATCCAGAGTGAGTGAGTAGAATGTGAGGAAGAAACATTTTACAGGAAAAATGGAAACGAAATATTATCAGAAATAGCCCCCCTTTTCCCCCACCCCACCCCCAAAAATGGGGGGGGGTGCATATACAGCAAGAAAATGGAAGTAGAATAAGGTGACGAATCCGAAGAAGAATGAAAGGTGGGTGAGTGTTAGAATTTCCAAAGAATAAATTTCGGAACTGTTGCAAATATTACATGTGGAATAAATGAAAAGAAAGGGTCATCAAAACAAAATGCAACGGCAAAAGATAGATAGATAGATAGATAGATACGTAAAAATAGAAAGAAGTAGATAGATAGAAAGATAGATACATAAAAATAGACAGAAGAAGATAGATAGAAAGATAGATGGATACGTAAAAATAAACAGTAGATAGATAGATAGATAGATAGATAGATAGATACGTAAAAATAAACAGAAGTAGATAGATAGATAGATAGATAGATAGATAGATAGATAGATAGATAGATAGATAAGAATAGACTGATAAATTCGAACAGACTGATGTAGATAGATAAATACTAATAGATTGAAATAGATAAGTATGGGAAAATAAGCTAAATATGAATAGACGGAAATAAACACACACATATATGGTGAGAGAGGAAGAAATGAATGAAATAAAGGAAATTAAATATATATATATATATATATATATATATATATATATATATATATATATATATATATATATATATATATGAATAAACTGTGGCAGAGAACGACAGAAATGAATGATAGAAAGATAAGCAGACAAAAAATAATCAAATGCAGAAAGCAAAAATGATAAAGCCAGTTGGTAAGAGACAAAGGGAAGAAAAGATATGACATGTTGGAATGAGCTAGAAGCGGACCATAAAAAAATAGCTAACATAAAATAACAAGCAAAGAAAGAAAAAAAAGAAAAAGAAGCAAACTAATAACACTCCCGCAAACAGAAAGAAAGCAACGTAAAATGGCACAAAGACAGCAGCAACAACGCTAGCAGTAAAGATATAAAAAAATAACAACGGACAGACAAAAAAAATAATAAATATTTTCAGAAATAAACACGAAGTAATAAAAAATATACGAGGCCAAAAGACACTAGATATGGAGCACGTACAAGCATATGTGCGCACGTGCATGCGTATGTGTGCGAGTGCTGTCATTTCCGCGCGTGCGCAGAACGTGCATGCCGTATTTCTCTTCAATGGCTGCCGTGGCATCAGCGACAAGGCGGGAAAACGCACATTCCCAAAATTCCGTGGCTATGACCTCATTCCCGCGGTTTTCGAAACTGAATGAAAAAAGGAAAAGACCGACACAAACAAAGCAATAACGAAAAAAAAAAAACAAACAAAAAAAAACATGAAGAATATGACTAAAAACAAAAAAAAAAATAAAACAGAGCTAAAAAGAAAGAAATAAAACAGTGCTAAATGAAAGAAAGAAAGAAAGAAAGAAAGAAAGAAGAGAGAGCTAAAAGAAAGAAATAAAGAAAACAGAGCTAAAAGAAAGAAAGTAAAACAGAAAGAAAACAGAACTAAAATGAAAGAAAGACATAAAACCAAACTAAAAGAAAGAAAGATACAGAGCTAAAAGAAAGAAAGAAAGACTGAAAGAAAGAAAGAAAGAATGAAAGAAATCAGAGCTAAAAGAAAGAAAGAAATAAAACAGAACTAAAAGAAAGAAAGAAAGAAACAGAGCTTAAAGAAAGAAAGAAAGAAAGAAAGAAAGACAGAAAGAAAACAGAGCTAAAATGAAAGAAAGAAATAAAACCGAACTAAAAGAAAGAAAGAAACAGAGCTAAAAGAAAGAATGAAAAAAAAAGAACTAAAAGAAAGAAAGAAACAGAGCTCAAAGAAAGAAAGAAAGAAAACAAAGCTAAAAGAAAGAAATTATAAATGAAATGAATGAATAAAAGAAGATGATGGCCAAAAGATAGCTAGGGAAAACATTCAAAATGAAAGAAATAAAGAAAGAATATATGAATAAAATGAATGAATGAAATGAGTGTGTTGAAAGAATAATTAGGAAAGGAAAGAAAGAAATACCGAAAGAAAGAAAAAGGTTAAATGAAATGAATGAATACAAGGAGGACGATAACAAAAGAATAATTGAGAAAAGGTGGCTAGAAAGAAGGAAGGAAAAAACGATCTAAAATAAAGATTGAAAGAAAGAAAGAATAACTGAAATAAATTCATAAAAAGAAGATGATAAAAGAATAACTGTGAAATGAAAGTTTTAAAAAGAAAGGAATAACGAAAGAATGTAAAAAACAGAAGAAATAAAAATAACAGGTGTAATAACAAAAAGAAGAAAAAAATAATTCAAAATAAAAAGAAAGTAAGAAAGAAAAAAGAACGAAAGAAAGAAAAAAGAAAGCAATTGAAAACAATAAATAAACCACGTGAAGAAGTTATTTGAATGAAATATACATTGTGAAAATTGGAAAATGATGACTGAAACAAAATAGCAATAATACTGAATAAAAGAAAGAAAGAAAAAATAAAATGAATAAAGGAAGAAAAATAGAAAATAACAAAGAAGAAATAAATAAATAAATAAATAAAGAAAGAAAGAATGAACGACGTATAAAAAAGAATTATATCTCATATATATATATATATATATATATATATATATATATATATATGGATGAAATCGAAACAAAGAAACGAAGACTAAGGAAAAAATAAAATGAAAAATAAAATTAATGAAATTTATAAAATGTAAAGTTTTATTATTGAGAAATAAACACATTATAAAATGGATGAATGTCATGATTAAAGTAGAAAATAATAAACTGAGTGAAACAATGAGTTGGACGGAAGGAAAAAGAAAGAAAGCAACTGAAAAATGCAACATAAGAAGCCTGGTGAAAAAGAATCAATGAAGGTAACCTGGAATGAAGTAAGAGCAAATAACAGGGAAAACGGTAAATGGAGAATGGATGAAAAATACAAGGTATGAAGATAAAAAGGAATGAAGAAAAAAGAATGGAAAAAAAAGCAAACATGAGAATAATCATAGAGGTGATAAAAAGACAAGGCATAATAAGAAAAATACACAATGAATGAATGAACGAAAAGAAAGTTAAAAGGTAAAGAGAAAGCGAATGGAAACAACAAGGTATGAAAAGGAAAAATAAAGAGATTAATAAAAGAATGAAAGAAAAAAAGCAATGGGAATAAAGGAAGGTGAATGAAAAATTCAAAGTATGAAGAGAAAAATAAAGAATGAAAGAATAATAAAAAAAGAAAGAAAAAATGGGCATAAACGAATCAAGAAAGAAATCAATGAACAGGTCGATCAGACAGAGTGAGTGAATGAACAGAAATGGTAAAAGGATAAGAAAGAAAGAAAGAAAGAAAGAAATGGGAGGGAGGGAAGGAGGAAGGGAGGGAGGGAGGGAGGAAGGGAGGGAGGAAGAGAGGAAGGGAGGAAGAAAGCAAGGAAAGAAGCAAGGAAGGAAGGAGGAAAGCAAAAAGAAGGAAGGAAGGAAAAAAGCAAAAAAGAAGTAACAAAAAAGAAAGAAAGAAAGAAAGAAAGAAAGAAAGAAAGAAATGGGAGGGAGGGATGAAGGAAGGAAAGGAGGGAAGATGGAAGGGAGGGAGGGAAGAAGAGAGGAAAGTGAATGAACAGAAATGGTAAAAGGATAAAAAAGAAAGAAAGAAAGAAAGAAAGAAAGAAAGAAAGAAAGAAAGAAATGGGAGGGAGGGAGGGAGGAAGGAAGGTAGGGAAGATGGAAGGGAGGGAGGAAGAGAGGAAGGGAGGAAGAAAGCAAGGATAGAAGGGGGGAAGAAAGAAAGGACGGGAGGAAGGAAGGAAGGAAGTAAAGAAGAAAGCAAGGAAAGAAGCAAGGAAGGAAGGAAGGAGGAAAGCAAAAAGAAGGAAGGAAGGAAGAAAGCAAAAAAGAAGTAAGAAAAAAGAAAGAAAGAAAGAAATGGGAGGGAGGGATGAAGGAAGGAAAGGAGGGAAGATGGAAGGGAGGGAGGGAAGAAGAGAGGAGAGTGAATGAACAGAAATGGTAAAAGATAAGAAAGAAAGAAAGAAAGAAAGAAAGAAAGAAAGAAAGAAAGGAAGAAAGAAAGAAAGAAAGAAATGGATCAGAGAAACAAACAAAGGACGGAAGTGAAAAGGAAAATCAAACACGAAGGAAAGAAAGAAAGGAAATGAAGAAAGATAGAAAGAAATCATTGAATAGGAAGGAGTAAGAAAAAGAAAAAGAAATAGAAACGAACGAAAGAAAAAAGTAATGAAAGTACGAACGAAAAAAATGAATTAACAAAACAAGCAAAAAATAAAAACGAAAGAAATCAAGCAAAGAACGAAAGAAAGAAAGGAAACAAAGAAAGACAGAAAGAATGAATGAATGAAAATAACGAAATAGAAAAACAAAGGAAAATAAAAGAAAGAAAGAAAGAAAGAAAGAAAGTGATATCAAAACTGGAATAAATAATAATATATATAGATCAAGCAAAGAAACAATGAATGAATTAACTAGAGGGTTAAATGAATACGAAAAGTACAAAAAAAAAAAAAAGAAAAATCAAAAGCAAGACTTGAAGAAAAGAAAGAAAGAAAAAATATCAGAAATAAATGACAGAAAAATACAAACAAAAATAGAAAGTAAGAAAAAAAGAAAGAAAATAAAGGAAAATAAGAAAAAAAACAAAGGAAGAGATAAAGAAAGAACGAACGAAAGAAAGAAAGAATAAAAAGCTATACCAAAACAGTGACGAATAACAATGCATCGATTTTGCAAAGGCAAAAAAAAAAAGAATGAATTCACGAAAGTGTTAAATGAAAAAGAAAGAACCCAAGAAAGAAAAAGAAAAATAGAAAAAAAACAGTAAAAGGAAAGAAAGACAGTAAGAAAGAAATAAAGAAAGAATGAAAATGAATACAAAATAGAAAAAGAAAGAAACAAACAATAAAGAAAGAAAAAGATAAAAAAAAAATGTTTTATCAAAGCAATAATGAATAACAATGAATAGATCTAGCACAGAAAAATGAATGAATGAAAAAAAGAGTAAATGAATGAGAAGGAAAACAAAAAAGAAAAGAACAAAAGAAGGACATAAATAGATGAAAGAAAGAAAAAGTGAGATAGAAAGAAAAAGAAAGATAGAATTAAAGAAAAAGAAAGAAAAACTATCAGAAAAAGGGAGATGCAAGCAAACATGGAAACAAAGATAGTAAGCGAAAAGGAAAGAAGAAGGAAAAAGAAAAAAAGAAGGAAAGAAAAGTTATATAAAAGTAAAACGAGGAGAGGTTTGGAACGATAATAAGAAGCAAAAGAAAGAAAGTAGATGTAACTGAAGGCGGTCTTAGAAAGGCAAAGAGATTGGTTAGACAGGGAGCGATAAAATAAAATACGTGAGCGGGAGTCTAGTTAAGTGAAGAGAGAGAGAGGAGCAGGAGGAGGAATAGAAGGAGGAGACGAAGTTCAAGGTGGACAGTTGAAAAACAATGTTAATGGCGGTAGCAGTAGAAGTGACTGAGGCTTCGCTTGCGTGGCTGGGGACTCGTGCAAAAGAACAACGGAGACAGATACCAGCAAAACGCAAAATATCGATTTTCCGATCCTTCTTTCACTTTTCTTTTTCTTCTCTGTCTCTCACTCTCATTATTATTATTATTATTATTATTATTATTATTATTATTATTATTATTATTATTATTATTTCTTGTTCTTTTAAACCGTCCATGTCGCCATTTTGTTAAGCGTTCGCTCCTCTGTCTCCACGCACAAAGCACCCCGCCCTATCCTTACGATCATCTCTCACCCCCATACACACTTTCCTCTACATATTCACCGCAGCAACGAATATCTCCTATTTACGACTACAACTTTAGCTACTGCTTCTGCTGCTTCTACCACAATTGGCACTCTCCAACGTCTTGTCTCCATCAGCTTGTGAAAACCGACCGCCATTTTTTCTTATTCCTCTCCATATTTTTAGTTTTCGAAATTCTTCTCTAACAGTGCCCGCAACAATTATCTACTTAATTTCCAAAGCACGTGTAAGTTTTGAACTGCGCTATCTTCCTCTTCTTTAACAATGATTATATTACTGCACTTGTGAAATCTGCAACTATCTATATTGGGTTTGCTGCGGGGGCGTAACTCTCATTGACTTCCGAAATTGGTGTTCAAGCACACTTAAAAAAAAAAACTAGTATTTTGAATGTTCACTTACAAGATAAGCAATCAGACTATTTCCCATAAAAATATTCTTTTTTTGCCATTCTTCCTGCCTACAAGGCCCAAGAACCACTCAAAAATACAGGGGTCTTACGGCCATATCACGTTGAAACATCAGTTCTCGTATGATCGTCAAAGTTAAGCAACGTCGAGCCTGGCTTGAAGCTAAATGAATGACAACTTGAGAATACGAGGTAACATGCGGGTGGTGCATGGATACTGGCTCTGAATTTGAAATCAGATAACCGAGTTCCCCTTCCAGTCGCGTTTGTTACCGATTATCGCATGTTAAGCAATGTCGAGCCTGATCACTATCTAGATGGGTGAATCCTTGGGAATACCAGGTGTTGCAATGTTTGGATGCGAGTGGGTTGTAATGGATAACGAGTTCCAATTCCAGTCAGATTCACGTTGACGTAAATACCTTTGGGAAAGTTATGAATCCGGCTCTTCTCCTCCCAACTATGGGTTAATTAGTAAAACTTGTATCTGTAAATCATTATTATTGCCCAAAATTCTTACAATATAATAATATTTTCTAGCCTTCAATAATCTGAAAAAGGTTGATAAACCGTAAAAAACAATTCAATGGATAAAAAAAATACAGGGTTAATGAATCAAGTTGCTGTCTGGTGTTAAGACGGGGACTAATAAAAAGCAGATTATGAAGGTATATAGGAACGATAACTGTTGACACGAGGCATGAAGAGATTAAGAGTGTAACGATCAGGCAAGCCTTCCCTTGGCAGTCCGTTCCACAAAATAATGGTTCTTGGGAAGAAACCAAAAACTATACTAGTTTCGCCATCACTGACAGACCCTGAATTTTGACTTGTAAAGATGCACGATAGTACTACTGAACATCTACTGCAACTGAAATTTTCCCCAAACCTGAAATTGAACTCATATGTACGACCCATCTCTAAAAATGCTTGTCAAATAGACGGTTACTTCTATCAATCTAGTACCTTATTCCTAGCATGGTCTTTCGTTACAAGTGTTAGATCAGACCAAAAATGGAGTATTGTTAGATCTGTGCTAGAGTTGCTAATCCTCACTTTCCAGCATTTATAGATTTTAAAAGCATCTACGCGGCCTTGTGAGTGATTAATTATTTTCTTTCTCGCATTCTTCAAATACTTGGTCTGTTTAGCCTAAGCCTCATAAATATTCATAATATTGTCTCCGGATTGAGTAATGGTTAACGAACTATTTTGGTTATTCCTAATCGCTGAGTAGTCATTTCTCTGCGTTTCCCATATTCATGTCCTTCTACCAAACTAACCTAAGCTCAACAAACGACATCTTAGAAGCATAACAACGTAGAAGAACCTTTAATAAACCTTTTAGATTATTATGTTGTAAATCGATTGAAGTGAAAACTCTTCTAAACCGATGTTCCACAGCCTTCTAGTCCTGTACACTTTTCATCGTGTTGAACAAATGTTTTAGAGAAATTGTAATTTGTTTATAGGGAATTTTATGCACTTCTTAATAGTGAATGTTGTCAATCCATATCTGTTGGTTGAAAACCTTATGGCACATAATATAAAGTACGTTATCGTTATTAAAATAATAAAAAAGGCGTACATTTTACTAGGAAAAATATAGACATGATTTAAAGCCATCTAGAATTCAAATGGTCCCAAGTCAATATATTTATTTATTTTAATTAATTCAGCCCAAGCAAGGCGATGATGCCCCTAAGACGCAAAAGCTACTGGGAGTAAATGACAATGAAAAATATTTTAGAAGGAACTAGAAACCCAGTCCTAAGCAGGAAACAAGGGATAAACCTCTACTCCTGTTCAAAAGACTGAAGAAAAGAAGAAACAGGGTGATAACAGAACCTGTTTACTCCTATTGGTATTTTAAAATTTTCAGTGTCATCGAGACTAAACATACGATTTTAAAATCAATTAATTCGTCTATTTTCTTTTTTGTATGTCCGAGGGAAATATTTCAACTGGAAAAGACATTTAAATTGTTTGGACTTTTGTCCTCATCTTTATCGTCATATTCATGACGTTTGTACGTAAATAGTGTAAATAGTTATACTACCATTTAAAAAATATAGGCATATGGAAAAGACATATTCTAAGCCTCATAATTATTCTCGAATCAACCACGTTTTAGTTGCATTCAACATCCTACATTCGAGCTCCCAGTATGTTAGCATTAGGATTTGTTTGAATTGCTGGGATGGAGACATCATTATTTTCACTATTTACTTTCTTTTTACAATGATGCTCACCCTGTACCAGGCCTGAGAGACACTCGAGTTAGATGGTTACAGAGTAAGAGGCGCAGTTTATGTGGTTATGTGAGGAAGATCATAGTTAACACTGGTTAAGATTGCAGTCATCGGGAAAGCATCCTCAGAGCAGCCATTCGTGGTAGGAATCTGGCCGTGTTGAACTTACATCAGACCCATTGAATGCGAATAAAACACGCGGACATCCAAGTACTCCCTGCTCGGGCAAGCAGTGCCCAAGAATTTTAAAGTGCTAGTTAGTGAAATTGGCGACATAGTAATTGAGAGTTCAAGTTCTGGGTGGGATAGTATGTATTTTGGATTCTGTGAACCATAACAGAGCAGCACTAGTCATCGGGAAAGCATCCTCTTGGGAGTCGTTTCCACGGAGCAGCCATTCGTGGGAAGATGCTGCCCGTGTTGAACTTACATTGAATGTGTTGAATGCTGATATCCAAATACTCCCTGATAGGCCAGGGATTGTCAAAGTGTGTTGAAGTGCTGGTTAGTGAAATTGGTGATATAGTAATTGTGAGTTCAAGCTCTGGGTCGGGTAGTATGTATTTTGGATTCTGTGGAAACAGTGAACCATAAATGAGCAGCACTAGACACACGAACTAGTTGAGACGTCCCCAGACATACCGAATTGTACCTTTTATTTTATCTACGATAAATTGTTCTCGTTCCATGTCTAAAGATGTCTCGTGTAGTTCTTTCTCTTCACTTTATATTCGT